CAAAATCCTGGACAAAAATTGGACTAATATTGACATAGCATAATAATTATTAGATTTGTACTTTCCAGATCTTTTGTCTATGGGTGAAAAGTTTATAATACAATTTGAACTGTAATGATTCATAGGATTAGGTCATAATTCAATCAAAGATCTCATGATTTTCTTGCAAAAAGTCCCAATTTTAAGTTCTGGCATCTTTAGGTAGGACTGAAAAGAGTTCTGCTTTAAGCATTTTAAAAAAAACCTACCACAGTATTGGGGAGTGTTGGCAGCATTCAGCTAAAGGGTCTAATGTTCTCACTCAAGCCAGTGTTCATAACATAGACTCTGCTTAGTCTCATTCCATTATATAGTTTTATAGGGCAAAAATGGCTCAGTCTGGATATGGACCTGTGTAAATACATCAAATGTCTGGATTTCTTAGGTCTTGCTGCAGATCTGATCTTTTGAGATCTAGTGTGTGTACGGCAAAATAATATTTGCCAGTGAAAGGTCTCAAAATGGAGCTACTCTCATTCTTTCCATAGTTGATTATGTGCTCGTCTCTATAAAAACACCTTTACAATTTCCATATTTTTCAGTACACTTAAATCTGTTTTCATTTACCCTCGGGAAGAAAGGCAACTTGTAGTCTCTTCTTGAATCTTGGACACTGCACAATACTTTATGTTAATATACCATGTGTGAAGGAAAAAGGCCTCTTTAATTTTTCCATTTTTTGACTGTTTCTGAAAGATAAATTGCAGTGTCTCTGAGAAAACTTGCACACACTATATTCTTGTTTCCACTGTGAAGCCATAGATTTTTTTAGGGATGGTTCTTTGCTTCATTTTCTTCAAGATGTAGGAGACAGGCTGCAAGTAGATGACACATTTTTAAGAACTCTAGAGAAATCCCCATGCAAAGGAAAAATGTGTCATGGTAGGTTACATCATTTAACTCTTTGTGTTTGTATGAAACCGTAGCTTTTTTCAGAACAGATAGGAGAAATGAATATATAGAAATCCATGTAGTGGGCTACTTTGTCATTCTTTGACCATGTCCTATACATCCCTACCTGTTTAAGCATGCCATTAGAAACCCAATTTTTTCAGGATGTGTGATCATTCAAGAGATGCTCATCTCTAATATAAACCAGGGGTTACCAAAGTCTTCAGCTTATCCAGCTCTTCATGAAATTTCAGATGGTTCATTCACCTCCAAACATTTATATCCAGGTTATCAAAATAATGGCCCTTAGGCTGGATGTGTCACATGCCCACCCTGACTCCACAAAGGCAAAAAATGTCACAATACGTCATGTGACGTGATTGAGTTTGACACCCATACCTTATATGAAAATAATTTAATATATGCTACTTTCGTTATATTACACATAATAATAGTAACAATAATGGATAATCTCACCAAACTTTGGAAGTTGATACTGAATCTTTGGAGACCCTACTGAAAATGAATTCTGTACACTAAGGCTAAGGAAATCAAGGAATGAGTGGTGGAAAGCCTGATATTGAGTTCAGACATTGCTTTAAGTTCTAGTACTGTATGGTTTCCTTGACTAATATCTAGTGTAATGAATAAACAATGTGACTCATTTACCAATTCAAAATTAAATCATTCCATGTCCTGGAATTAAGATATATAGATATATATAGATATATCTCCAAATGTTTATTTCCCACTTAGCAATTGTAAATATGGTAAGGTTTGTGTTCCAGTCTTCATCTTTTCCAAGTCTTTCAACCATTGATAGCATGCCTCCTAATTTGTATTTTTATTAATGCCAATAGAAAATTCCTTTTTTAGGATTCAGTTTGTATGGCATTTGGATACTTTCACAAAGCTATTTGTTCTGCAAGAGCCACCCTGTCCTAAATACAGAAAATGATTCATCCTCTAATTTTCATAGCTTTTAACCTAAATTCGAGATGCAGAACCAACCCAGAAGGTCAGATAGGAAACAAGAAGGAGAAAAAGAAAAGGGAACAATGGAAGAGATGGAGAGAAGCCAAGAGCATCCAATTGTCAACAACATTCTCCATTCCTCTGAGTTATATTATAATATGGGTGACTACATAAATCTTTTTAAATAAATAATATTCTATCCTATGATAAGGTAACAAGTTCTGACAGACTATGAAGTAATATCATGGGAGAAGACAAATATTACTAGGCACTAATGAAGTTGTCAGCCTCTAAACAGTACTTTTATTTGCAACAAAACTACATACAGAGAAAGGAAGAATTATTTACAATTTAGATGCTGGAAAATGATGGTTCTTCCTGGAAAAGGATGCTAACACGCAAATGGTCATCTGTTTATTTATAACTACTATAATAGTACTCAGTATACTCAAGTGCAAGAAGTCCTTTCATTTGAAATGCTCGGAATTGAAAAATTGTTTCTTTGCTGGCTGGCATCAGTGCTACAGCTGAGCAAAGTTAATACCTGGGCCTCAGTTAATTTCCCCACCCTCCCAATATAAGCCTTCAGTCAGTACTGAGTGACTCAGTCTGACATATTTTAGATCTCCCAGAATGCCCTAAAATAAAGTAACTTGGGGACATTGTAGGAAATTAAATCAGAAACTTAGATTTAGTTGTTGGAAATATTGCAGCAGATAAGCCAATTGAGGTACATTGATGCAAAAGAACCTCACCATATTACTTAGAAACCCCATGATAAAACTGAAGCCTTAGGATTTTCCCCAGTATTTTCTTATGATAATCTTCCTCTGATTTTGGCTATAAATTCTGGAAGATGCTGTCCCAGCACATCTGGAAAGGACCGAGCTGGGGAAATCTGGCTTGCTGTATTCAGAAAATATACTGTATTTTGCTGAGACAACATGATCTGAAACTTTTCTAAGCTAAATAATTGATCTAGGAAATGTTAAACATTTGCTTCTTTTATTCTTACATGTTCTTCCTTTTGGCAAGAGTTGTCTAAGATTTATTGTCTAGCGTTGCTATTGCAAGCCCTAAAGTAGACATCATCAACAAGGTTGTTTAAAGAACAACCTTGGGAGAAATGTCTGTTTGGGGTTTTTTCCCCCTGTAAGTTCAGGTAGTCTTAGTGTAATATTAGATAATAAAATGCTTATTGGGTCTATCTTATTTCTCGTGAACTCAAAATGTTCTTAAGAAAGAGGAGAAAAAATCCAGAACTCCCTAAACTAATTACCAGTTTCCAATCTGCTTATCTAAACTTCACTGGTCAGAGCAGTGGCATTTAACTTAGAATGTTGAATTCTTCAGCATCCTGCTTACAAGTTTCTGTGTTGTCAATCATAGATTGGAATGTTTGTTCAGACAATGGAGCCAAAATTTGTCTGCTTAGAGATTGAAGTTTTGTTTTGAAATGTTCAGTCTCTGGGCAATTATCTGCCTGAAGAGTAAGATACATGACACCATTTATAGGCTATGTTATGAAGCTTCAAGTTGGAATAAAGAAAATTAAGAGGGGGACAAAGAAAACTCACCACACATTATCATCCATCCATCCATTCATCTCTTTTTTTTGTATTTTGCAATGAGCAATGGGGCCATTTTCCTCTCATCCAGCCCCTCCCCTTCTCTGCTCTGCTATGCTTCCATTTAATTAGTTCTGCTGATTTATCTCCTGCTGGTTAATGTTGCATGTCTAAATATGAAGTCTCAGGTGTGGGAGTACCAATGGCCTAATGAGTTGCATCTCATTCTCATTAAATCTAGTGTTGCATCCTTTTCAAGATAACTTTCCCATGGGACCAGACTTTACTAACTGTTGACCAATGAGTCTTCAGTTGTTTTATAAATACAGACAATTAAACTGGGAATTAAGTTAGCCCCATTGCAAGTTTAGTTCTTCTGGTGATGTGTCTGTCAACAGGTCAGAGAATGCTAGTAACTAACCTTTTTAGTTAAAAGGCCAATCAATCATTTTCTGTTGTGGGTTTAGGTTTAGACTCCTGGGAGTACGTTAGGGCTCACAATAGCAATGCTATTTGATTGACATTTCCTGAGAAATGATTCTGGTAGGCTCAGTGAGCCGAATCTGGAAATGGAGAATTGGGGATAAGGGTTTTCTCAGAGGTTCTATGCATAATAGATGATGTACTAAATCCCATTGCTGACCAAAGAAGGATAGTAATACAGGCTTTCATAGCAGTAAGTAGGATCATCTAAACAAATTGTTTACATTGAAAAAAATCAATGTTCTGCTGCATATTAAGTCCAGCAGCCAAGTCATCTCTTCAAACTGGGAATGCAGGTGAGTTTTCTTAAAACAGGATGGATGCTGTATGGGCAGCCTGGGACTCAAAGGAGCACATGTCCTTTTGGAAGGTTTTAACAAATGTAATAAAACTCAGGAGAGTTATTTAAACACTTACTTTGCTCATTTTTCCCCCTTTAAGAAACACTGAATCTTTCCAATGAGGGTGTGTGCTTATTGTACAATATAGAGGTCCATTTTGCTAAATGAGAAATTTATTTATTTTTAACAGAAAACTGAGAATTTAGCTCTTATCTTTATAGGAATTTTGAAGAATACTTTGACTGCTCTCAAGTAATACTTTGGGAAAATACAATGGATTTTTTTTAAAAAAATAATGATGTTATTAAATATATTAGGAATTAGCTTTATTTTTTTAAAAAATGCAGATACATGAAATTCAGATCAGTTAAAGTATGGACATTTGGCAAAAGGACAATGTATTGCTCTTGAAAAATATTAGCCTTGGTTAATATTAGCCTCAGTTCTGAACACCAATTTGAAGTTTTCAAGAGCAGCGCTTGATGCTATCACTCCATCCATTTATCTTTTTCTTTAATCAATCATAAGTCTCATTGTATAGGGTTTCCTCCCAAATAAATTATCCTAGGCTCAGAAGTTAACTACATAACATTTTGACTAGCTGGTACTTTTTCATGTGTATCTTGCAGGTTTCTGGCTGCATTGTCTAAAAATTATATTTTCAATTGAATTGATTTCTCTGTTTCCCCTTTTTATTGTACAGAACCTGACAACTAAAGAAAAGCAACATTTGCACAAGAATTTAACAGTGGCCTTGGACAGATAACAATGAACCATTATTACATTGCTTTTATGTGCACTGTGCTTGGCACTGAATTACTAAGGAGCTTTGGTACCCCTGTCAAATCCCCAAGGTTCAGAGGTCGGGTGCAGCATGAACGAAAAAATATTAGGCCAAATATTATACTTGTGCTTACAGATGACCAGGATGTGGAGCTTGGTAAGTCTGTTTTGAATTCCAGCTTCTTTTTACCACCATCACAATTTCATTTGGCTTTGTTTTGTTCTTTTGAAAATCACTTTCTGCTCTGTAAATAATCCTTCTTTATAGTGGCCTTTCCTGTCCATTATTATAACTACTTGACAGATTTGGACAACCCATTCCCAGAAAACAAAACGATCAGGTTTTTTTTGCTTCAACATGATATATCTTATTCTCATTTAACTGCAGAATCAAGATAATGTTCAGCTACCTCTGATTAACTGAAGCATTTTATAAGACTGGGTGGCAAAGGAAAAGAGGAAGTTTCCTGTCAACAGCAGTTAATTTTCTAATAATGGCCATTCATGAATGTGTGTAAAACATTTTTAAAGATCTGGAACACTGAAAACATAATCTCTTGGATGCAGTTACACTTCTATTTTATTTATGTATACAATTACAAGCTAATTATTTTTATACATATATTAATATTTACTAGGCATTTTTATGTATGGCCCAAGTATCTCAGTAAGAAATCTCAAAATCCAAACCATCAATTAATATCAAGCAATCAAAAAGTCAGTGAGGCCCACAAGAGCACCCAAAATCAGTTTGAAATAGAAGGTTTTAAGGATCTTAAGAATGACTGCCAGTTGCCTGCAATTTGGCAGTTCAAATCTCGACAGGCTCAAGGTTGATTCAGCCTTTCATCCTTCTGAGGTGGGTAAAATGAGGACCCAGATTGTTGGGTGCAATATGCTGACTCTGTAAACCACTTAGAGAGGAAGCACTGTGAAGCGGTGTATAAATCTAAGTGCTGTTACTATTGCTATCTTCCTAAAAGTCTGGAGTGAAAGGGCCAAGCATATCTCCAAGGTCAGTGTATTACATGGAATGGATCACAACTGGGACAGATTTTGACTCATAGAGCAGAATCTGACTCAGTGATCTAAGAGTAGAGGCAGACTCACTTAGGACAATATAGTGTTGGAAAAAATGTCCTTCTGGGTTCGGCTCCAAGTGGGGAAAAAGACACTGGAGACATGGAGGCTGCTTGGAAAGATGGTTTTAATGGTGGACAGGACCACATGGCTTGAGTCCTGAACAGAAAAGGTGATCACATGCTTCAATAAAGGTGATCACATGCTTCAATGTTGGTGGAGAAGAGAAGGGGAGGCAAGAGAAAGCAAGGGAGGAAGAGAAGCTGAGTCCCTGGTTTTATGCCCTCTCTGGCCTTTGATCTTGATCTTGTATTCTGATTGCCCCTGCATGGGCCATGGGCAATGGGCCCATGCAGGGGCA